AAACCAGCTCACGTATGTTGTGAGTGAAGCCATGTAGATCTCTAGTATTGATCATGTTCGTGCCTCAGCAATTGAACGCAGAGAAGTTGCTAATGTAAAACAGAAGAAAATTGAGTAACTAAAGGTCACAGACTACAGATCAGCTTTCTATATTGCACTTAATACTAAATCTGTTTTTGTTTTCTGATCAACAACCGCTTTCAATGTTCTAGCTTAAACAGTTAAGGCTGAGTTAATATACACTTCCTACTGTTTTTTGCTTTATTGAAGACATTTATATACTTTTCACACTTTTCAAATATTAAAATATAAAACCAAATACTATTTGACTTTCAACAATATCATTATTTCAAGACCACAAGGAAAAGGAAAAAAAAATGCTCGTGTAATTTGCAAAACACCTTTGCTTATTCTTAGATTGACTCTCATCTGCAAGTTGAAAAAGTTTCTGAGCACGCAGCAATGAGGGAGAAAAAAAAACCACACACACACACCCACACACACACAAAAGTTAAAAGAACTTTTCAACATGTTAACTTTAAGTTCAATTTGCTGCAATGATGCGACAAAAATTCAAAAACAGAGCTGAGGCAGCTGTAGTTGTAGCTGTCTGCGCGTCTAAGGTGTTCTTATCTCAAGCACTTACCTTGTTGCCAGATCCCGATGTACGAAATTCATTTGCTCCAAATGCTTCATGCCCGATGCAATTTGTGTGGCAATGTAGACTAAGCAGCCGTAGCTACATGGCGATGGTTCCGATGTTGGTTAGGCGGTGGGCGGGCGCGCAGCGTAACGGATGCCGGGCGAAGGATGCCAACGTCAAATGAGAATTTCAAAAGTTTTCGCGTGTGGCAAGGACGACAACGGCAACGATGATAGCGGGACGGCACAAGCAGCAGCAGAAGCAGCAGCAGCAGCAGCAAAGTTAACGAAGTTTTTACATCCGTTTGCGCATGTTGTTGGTGGTTGTACGGTGGTTGTTCGTTGGTGGATCGGCGTAATCATTGAACACGAGACCGGAAGTGTAGCGTCGGCAAATGGCGTCGGTACAGGAAGCATGATAAAAACGCACGCCAAAACGCAGCCAGAAAAACCAAAAAGAGACAGCGCATTAGAACAGCAGCATTCAATGTTAACTAAAAAGCCAAAGTACTTTTCGCCCTCACTCTTACTCTCTTTCGCCTGCCCTTGCCCCTCCCCTGCGCTTACCTCAAACTCTTGTTGGCCAGCAGTCCGCTTGTTTCGGCCACATGCTCCTGCAAAAATTGATTCAAGTCACCCAAACAATTCGAATAGTCCTGCACAATGCAGATGGGCTCGTCGCGCAGACAGGCGCCCACCAGGCGCGCCACATTCGCATCGTTGAGACGCGCCAGCTGCTTGGCCTTGCTGCGAAACTCCTTTCTCAGATGATCACCAGCACCGGGACGTAAGGTGGCAACGGCGACAAGGGTGGCACTGTAATGGAAACATATATATCAGAGTTAGGGATGAGAAAACTTAAGAGGATGCCCGACTAGGACATACCCTAGATCACGAGCGGTCTGGGATTTTAAATGAACGCATTTATGTTTTACTAAAGCCGAAAGAGTATAAACTCATAAGTATTTTCTACTTAAGCTTCCACCTGTACAACGTTCCTATTTTAGGCTCCATTTGCAAATCTCAACTGATCGTCTAGTGAAAGTTTGATAAAATTTGGAAGCGATATCCAGTGTAATACATAAATAAAATTATACATGCATCCTAAAACAATATTTAAGGACTCTAACTCTATAAATGCGCTAGATACTATCTTATAACTGATCTTTGATTTTTGTTCGATGACATTAAAGTTATCGATATTTGTTTTTTTCTTTTTTTCAAACAGACTTGGTATGCCCTTACTGCATTTAGCCCTAGGTATCTAAGTGTTATAGGTTCTGAGATCGACGCATTCATACATACGTCGTTCATACAGGGTTCTTAGCACTGATCCTTAATACATACAATACAGCTTACTTGCCACGCTTCTTTCGCATTGTTTTATACATTTTAAGAAAACCCTGATAGCCTGATTTTCCATTTTCAATGTGCTCAGGGCATGAAAACAAGCAACGGTTCGGACAGTGTTAATATCTTTGCCTGGCAATAGCTTACTGCAGCTGCCCAGAGCTCTTTGCTTTTGTGGGTTATTTATGTATGTGCAAGCCACAGATCGTTCAGTCATTCATTCAGTCGGTTATCTGTTCTACCGCTTGTTACTCGTCCAACAACCATTTCAATCTATATCAATAGAAATACGTATGCCCATGACAATTGCTCTCTAGCGCAAAAATCAATTAGAGCAGCTCAACAATGTCCCATTCGATGTCCTGGACAGGATGGTCCTATTGCTCCAACTGCGGCTGCTTCTACTCCTACTCCTGCTATCCCAACTCTACCAATTCCATGTCAATGTACACTCTGGCAATTTTGATACGTTTCGTAACAATTCGATTTGCCTGCTTGCTTTAATAGTTTTGCGGTTAGAAAGCCACAAAACGTATTACGTATACGTAATATTGCACTGCAGTGACAGAAAAAGCAACAGCAGCAGGAAAGGCAGTAGCAGGAACAGAAGCAAAGATGACTCCTGACTGCCGCAACTGGCAGCTGTATGCAAAATAATTAACACACACATACACACACACGCATGCTGCAGTGTGTGTGTGTTCTGTGCTAAAACTTGAAGTGGACGTACGAGGTCGTCCGCTTTGTGCCTGCTCTGCCCGCCTCTTCTGTGGGGCGTGGCCGTCTGATAAAATATTAATAGACAGCTGGATAGACAGTTATCAGACAACAGATGGACTTTATTGTCCTAGACCACAGACGCAAATTATAATAGACATGCAAGTGGAAAATCAAACCCACACACACACACACACACACACACACACACATTACGCATACGTCGTGCTGTCTGCGAAAAATTAAAACCATTTCCATGCCCTGCATATAGAGAGAACTCTAGCCACGCTCGTTGCTTATACGATATATATGTGTGTGTATATATATACGTATATACATATATATAATGTGCAATAAAAAGCTTCAATTAAACGGCAAATATGAAATCAAAGGTAACGCTGCCGTCGCGCTCTGCCTCTACCTTTGCCCAGAAACCATATACAGCCCCGCACTTGTCTCGCCTACGTCTGGCTTTGGCTGCTCCAGCTTCTGGTTGTTGACATTGCTGTTGCTGCTGCTGCAGTTGCCTTTTTGGTTAAAGTTTTCATAATGGAATTTCTGATAAGCTTTTTTTGTGGCCAGCATGTGCTGCTGCTGCTTCTCTTGCTGCTGCTCCTGCTGCTTCTCCTGCTGCTGCTGTTACCGCAGTCGTGGCATTATATCCCGCAAACCTGCTACATGCAATCAGCTACCTGCAACGAGAGCCTGCACCTGGCCGAGACGAGGGCCAACTCTCAGCCTCATATCGGTTTCGCTTTGCTTTATGTCCTTTCATCTAACCATTTCACATACTTCATCCATCTATGTGTGTGTGTGTGTGTATGGTATTAAAGTATTGCGGTTTTTCTTATTGTCAACTATTGTTAGACGAATTTTTGATTTTTGTGTTCTATCTGACAATGCTTGCAACAGATTTGTCAGTCTCCATATCCAATTTATGAATTGGCCAATCATTCTCTTTTCTATTATTATTATTTTGTTCATTTTGTATTTAGAAAAGCAATTTAACTATATGTCACAACAGATCTCTTATTGGATGTGTTTTTTGGACGCTGATATTACAATTTATATATTGTATATTGATTTGCTGCGAATTTGATTTAATTGGTTTTCTTGTTAAAGAGTTTGATTTATGTTAAGTTTTACCAAAATGTCTAATAAGAAGAAGTAGCTGTTATGTCAAATATTGTATTATATATTTTGCCAAATTTAAAAATTGAAAGCCCTACTTATCTTGTATACCAGAGAAAAGAATAGCCACACCCTTGGTTGACATATAAAGAAAGCCTTATGGGTTAAAAATGTATTTACTATTCATTCCTATAGGAATGAGTAACCCAATATCTTAAAAGAAATATGCAGTGAATTTCAAACTCATTGTAGAAAATTTATAAAATCCTTATATACAAAAAATTCAGTAAGAATAATAAATATTTTTTATTTTCTTATTTTTTTATTTATTTTTTTTTTTTTTTAGATAATGAAATACTGTCGAAATTATTTAATTAAAGTACCCGGTAATTTCCATAGCCCAATTGTTAATTGTTAACCCCAACAACCTTACGTTATTCAACACTTCTTAAGATTAGCAAACAATAATATGTCTATGCCTATTGATAAATCTGTGGAAAACTGTATGACCATTTAATGGTTTCTCTTAGTTTATTCTATAACTATAAATTTATGGTTCTTGAATAAATCATATCTTTTAAAGTTTTCCAGTTGGTAGCGTGTATTTTGATATTTGAATTTTCTAATTTAATTTTTATATTTTTACTTCGACATATTGTATTTCTATATGCTGAATTTATTGTAGTCAAATTTTTTCTACATTAAAGTTTATTCCTTAGATTTTTAATAAAAGTGTCTCATAAAAAATTTTTAGCACAATAACTGGTCAGGCCTAATCCCCTGGTGTACATATGGCTAAACTAGAAGCATTGAAGTTGAGCTCTTCAAATAGCCGCAATAGCAGGAGCAGCAGCAGCAGTAGCAGCAGCAGCTACCATTCAGTTTAGTGTAGTTGGAAAATAGCCCGTAAGCCTAATGCAGCTCATTTTGTGTTGCTGTGGATTTTAGTTGCATTTTCCGAATGTTTTTTCGGCCGCTTGCAGCAGACATACAACAACTTGTTTAAGTGGATTGCGTGGGTGTGGGTGTGGGTGTGGGTGTGGGTGGCTTTAGTATACCCACACAATGTGTAGCTGCAAAGAGAGCGGTGGGTGTTGATGGCATAGTGTGCGGTACTTACTTCAACACATTTGTTTCGCACAAATGCAGTTCACCAAATACGCCGGAGCCGAGCTTCTCGACGATGACCAGCGACTGGCGCGGAAACTCCTGCACTTGGCAATTGGCCTGCTCCTCGTTGATGTCGGCGAAATTAGCGCTCATATCGAAATTGTAATGATGTGGTTTGCCGCCCGTTGGCGTGGGCGTGGTCGCTGCCGTATTCGAGGAGCTCAAACTTAACGAGCCGCTGCTCTGGGAGCCCGCCGGCCCCGTCACCGGCTTGCTGCAAATTGGCGTCGCTGCGTAATATTTCTCTGGTGGCGGTGGCACGGGCGGCGGTGGTGCGGCCACCGCTGCAGCAGCCGATGCCACCGAAACAACTGGTGGCGCAACGACGATAGATGCGTTCAGAGAGCTGCGGGCGGTGCCGGTGCTGCCGGCGGTAGTCGGTAGCAGCTGCTGCATGTGAGGCACCGCATAGTCCTGGCACACAATGTCCGGCACATCTGTGTAAAGAAAGAGACAAAGAGAGAAAGAGAGAGAGAGAGGAAGAAAGAGAAGAGTGAGTGAGCGAGAGAAACTGTGAGTAGAGGCTGGTTTAGCGTTCGGAGAGTGTTAATTTTTTTAGCCATAAAACTGGGCTGCAAAACAACTGCACCTCACCGAAAACAATAAACTTTTAAGCGCCATTTTACGTGCCAACCAAAAGTTTTTGTCGGGCCAACGAATTATACACAAAAAGATGCCACAACATTTTACCGAAAACTCAACTGAAATTTACACTCTGCTACACAAGTCGTAAACGAATGGTGTGACGTCGCTTTTTAAATTCTTTTAGCTAGAATTTAGCAGGGCAATAAAACGGAAGATAAAAATATGTAGGAAAAAAAAAAAAATAGATCGTAAAGTAAATTGTATTTTATGTTTAGCAAAAATGAAGAAGAATATTCAAATTGAAATTAAATATTTAAGTTGCAGTTTTTACTAAAAGAGACATAAACAAATATTCTTTAGTTATATTTAGCTATAAAAATTGGCTTAAAACTCTATTAATAAATAGTCTTTAATATTTATAATCGAATATGGAGAAATAATTATTCTTTCTGCTGTCATTTAGTTTTGCAAATTGAAATCAAAATTGAAATTTCGATCTTAAAAAAATTATTTGTAAATTTTATGTAAATAAAATTATGAAGAAATTCTGTTTAAATTTTCTTCTCAATTTTATACATACATTAACACTGAACACTGGGCAAAACAAATTCGTATTTCTTAATAAATAATCATGACATTTATTTAAAAAGTTTTTGGCTTTCATAACCACATTTTCCATTTCCTAATCAAACTTGAAAGAGCTCACAAATGTTGGGCCGAAAATTCACAGAACTCTAAACTTAGTTAATTTAAGGTAAAAACACAACTTTCCAACACATGCCACAGAAGTTGAGTGTTGTAAAAGACATTTGTTTTGCGGCGCTCCAGCGTTGCCCGCTGTTTAAGCATATGAAGACAGCCAACAGACGCCCTAAGTCCGACTCATAAATTGAATGCTGTGGGCCGGGAGAGATGAGAGAGAGAGAGAGAAAGGGAGAATGCAACTCTCGGCTGAAGCATTTTGTCTGGCTTTCTGGCAATTGCCATCTCTATTGTGTAATGCCATCTCGTTCTGGTATTTGGGCTCGCCTTTTGTCTCTCGCTTTCATTTGTCTTGTCCAGGACTTTTGTGCCTTCAACTTCAAACTTTTCCCATTTAGTCAACTCTCATTGCACATAGAAAAGAAAAAGTATGTGTGAGGGTGACAGAGAGAGTGAGATGGAGATAAAGAGGAGCTGGGGGAGCAAAGCATCGGGACAAGAGAAAATGGCGTGTGGCAAAAAACTAAATGAAATTAATTGCAACTTGGCGTCGTACTGTCCCTCTTGCACTAATATTATCCATCCTACATTCCTTCCAAGTCAAGTTTTAATTTTATTGTTGTTGTAATAACATTATTTAGTTTGTGTGCGGCTCATTGTCAGTCTGCTTTTCGGCCTCACTGTTGCCAGTCATTTTTGCATTCGCTATGCCAGCAAGTAGTGGGAAAACATAAAATAACACTGAGAAAGAGACGGCTGCACAGGGAACGTGTGGCAGATAGAGACAGGCAGACAGTCTCAGAGATAGACAGCCAACGAACGTTAATGACAAAACTTTTCGACGACTGTGCAAAATTCGTATGCAAGTTGTCGGAATATGCATGTGTGTGTGTGTGTGTGTGTGTGTGTGAGTTTCCTTTTATACATATATGTCTGTGTGTATTTGAGCAATCAGTGCCTCAGCTTTTGAAGTTGAACTGAAGAGGTCTTGTGGCCTTAAGATTTCAACTAGAAAATACAAAAATATTAAATACCTTACCTCAATCTATATATAAATTAGAACTTTGTTTGAGAAATGACTGTATTTTAAATAGATTAGAGATACTATGATAAACAGGAGAACATTGCAAATACATAAATATTGCTAATAATTTGATTTACGATATATTTATATATATATATTACAATATAATTAATGACCCAATAGTAACTATATTATTTTCCATCTCTTTAATTTTGTGATGTATACATAATCATATAGCATTATATATACAGATTTCATTCCAATTTTTTGAAAATTGTTTGTTTAAAAGGGTTTTTCGAATAATTTTAAGAGAAACTGATGAGTAAACTACCTAGAAAAATAAGTTTTAGTTTTTAAATTTCTTTCAATTTGATTTTAAATATTGTGACAGTATATTTCTGAAAAAATTACTAGAAATATTAAGACTAAAATATTTTTGATTAATTTAGATACATGTTTGATACAAATTTGATAATAAATATTGAACATATGTTGTATTTTGGAATTCGAAAAAAGAAAATATTTCTTAATTTTGTTTCTAATTTTTTCAAGTTGTTCGTCTTTTTTTTTCATTAATATTTTTTTTTGTTATATATTTATTTATTTGTATATAGTTTTCTACATTGAATATCATAGTCATTTTAAAACATTTATATAATTTATATTTTCAGGTAAATAATGTTCTGCTGATTTAAATTCCTCGGTAAGTTCACTAATTTAAATTTTACTTTGACTGTATGGAATATTAATTATTAGTTGTAAAAAGTCAGTTTACCTTTGCAAAGCAATTTACATACAGTCGATTAATTCAGTAAAGTACTCAGTATTTTCAGCAATCTATTTGAAAAACTCTTAAAACTAAAGCCGAGATTCTCCTATGTCGAGTTGAGCAAATTGCGAAACGTTTTTACGTTCGTTTCGTGTTTGAATGCACGCTTATTGCCCTGTTTATTTGCATGCAATGTTATTATGTGGAGTTTCTGGCCGTGATTCCATTGGGTGGGTGCTTTGCCAGTGCAAATTGGCAGTTGACTTCAAAAATGGACTTTAATTGGAGTATGTATGTGTGTGTGTGTGTGTGTGTGTTTGTCTGTGTGGAGTGAAGTGGTTAGTGCTGGCAGAAGTTTTGCTACGAAGTTTGAAGGACTCAATTTGAAGCGTGCGGTACGCGCGAGACTATGACGAGTGCTGCAAACAGAAATGTATGGGAAATTGGAGTGTAGCATGGTTAAAGCTTGGCAGTTCCATGGCTAAAGTTATAATTTATTTGAGCTAAATTAAATTATTATGGCAACGGACAGACAAAGACACTGGCGGCGGTCGGCGATGGGGGACAATGACAAATATTTGGTGCCCAGTTATAAAATGCACCCAAAGGCAACATCAGAAAACTTTTGGGTAAATGAGTCGAGCGCATGAAAGGCGTGCCATAAATGTTGATGATGACGATGACAGTGCCAATGATGATGATGATGATGATAATGGTTATAATGATGATGGCTAAGGAATGTGTGCAAACAATGTGCCTGTGTTCCGACCAGGATGTCGATTTTATGCGCCATACTCTTACTAGAGTCAAAAGGACGCAAAAAATGTGTAGAATGCCTTCAGGCGGCGGACACAAGACATTAGAATTCATTACAAATTATGTAGCCAAACTTGTAACCCCAAGCCGAAAGCTCTCCTGTCCATGTGGCAATTAAACAATGCACATGTTACTCAGAATGGAAACATTGCCGGAGCTGCAGACGCTGACGCTTAGTTACTCTGCAAAAGGGCTTGGCACAATTGAGCCGTATTTAACTTGCTTTAACTAGCTAGTTAAAGGACTTATGTATTGAGAGCAGTCTTGTATTTAATTATTGACCAAAGCAGAGCAAAGAGTGCATGCGGAGCTTGCTTAAGCGGATTAGTAAGTCAGCAAATGTCGCTACTGGTTAAGCTTCAGAGTTAAACCCGAGTTGAGGATTTTATTTCAAAGAGGTGATTCTTAAGAGATTTGTTGTTTTTGTAAGATGGTTTACAAAGGCAATGTTTTTGCTTAATTAAATGTAAGAACAGAGATTTGTATCTATTTACAGTAGTGACTATTTGCTAATTGCAAAAAAAAAAAAAAAAAAAAAAGGAAATTTTAAAGATCTGATATAAAGAGAGTGGCCAAATTTTAAACAATTTTTTAAAGCGTGTGCTTAATTTTTTTTTTTTTTTTTTTTTTGTATTTGTTTATATTTTTTTTTTTTATTATCTATTTATTTTTTTTTAATATTGAAAATAAAAATAATGTTTTTTAGTATCTCGTAAAATGTTTCTGTCAAATAAATATTTGGGTAAAATTACGCAAGAAATAAATATTTAACAAAATTAAATATTAATGAAATATTTTCTGATTAATTTTATTCATTAAAAAATCAAACTAATTTTATTTTTTAATAAATAAAAAAATAAAAAATTTTAATACTAATATTGAAGCCTTTTTTATATAGAATATAACTGTTTTTACTTATCATAAATTCAGAGAAAAAAAACATCTATAACAGATTTGAAAATTAATTTATATTATTTTTAAATAAATAATTATTTTATTTTTAATACATATATAAAAAACTTTTCAATGCAAGCAATAATATAATAAAACCAAAATTTAATTTTATTAATGCATCATAAGGCTTTACTTAGCGCATACACTCTCTCTAATACCCTGCCCAATTTTTTGTTTGTGTCAGTTTTGCCGGTCTGGCGACTAAGCAATTCAAAATTATGTCCTGCGGCGTGAACAAGCTGCGTTATTTTTTTTTAACTGGCTACCTTTGGAATTTTTTGTTGTAACTTTGCTGGTCGTGTTCCGGCTGCTGCTTCAGCACCGCTGGCAGAGTCCATCACAGTGGACTATCATGTTGTGCGCTAAATTAAGCATTGCTTCGTACTCTCATTTCTCATTTTTTGTTGTTGCTGGCTGCAACATTTGCATGTCCTGTCACAGGCAGGACGCAAAACATCAAACTCATCAGCTGCAACACCAGCAGCATCAAGAGCAGCGGATGAAACAGGAGCTGAAGCACCACCAGCAGCCAGCAAAGCTTAAGCTTTGGGCTCTGTTTATGGCCCATGGCATCAGCAGCAGCAGCAGCAGCAACAGCAGCAGTCGTAACAGCATCCCATCATGGTGCAACTGGATGCTAGGGCACCTCTTGCCCCATTTGCGTGAACTCACCTGTATAGTCCGGGGTTACATGCTGACGCTGCAGGTCATTCATGGAGCAGGCACTGGCCGCGCTTGTGTACATGTTCACATTGAAGGGCTCATGGTACAGACTGTTCTTGTCAATGGACGACTCATTGTCATCCATTGTTGTGACCACCTGAGGGCGAAAGGTGAAAGAAAAGAAACATACAGAAAAAAAATCATAGCATACACATACACATACACATACATATGACAGTGTAAAGAAAAAAAAAAACAGCAAAAGTTAACGCCTAGCTCTTTTTGTTGAGCTTCGGCCAGCCACTGCAGTACAGCTTTTAATCATGATTTCTGCATATGGAGGAAGCTTGGCCTCTCTTGCTTTGTGCGTTAGCAGCTGCAATTTTCAATTCATTTTTTTGCTGCTTGGTTTGTGTTACTCTTCAGTTTTTTTTTTCTCTTTTTTTTTGGCGACGTTTGACATGCATTTTGGGCGGCGTTAACTGGCCCCAAACTGTGCGACAACAGTTTATGCACTTTTCGTGTCAACCAGGTCGGTTGATTATTGTGTAACAGTGTGTGCTTACCTTTAAGACGCCATTGCCATTGCCATTGCCATTGCTGTTGCCATTGCCACTGCCATTGAGTCGCCGCTTATCAACGCCGCCGAGCGTGTCCGGATTGAAATTATGCTGGAATGCATCCAAAACATTGCCACGTCCGCGTCCGTGCCTATTGCGTGCTATTATCAGCAGTATAATAGCGACAAGGAAGAGAATAATTGTGGCCAGCACTGTGATTATGACGCCAACGAAACTTGTTTCCGGCTCCTGATGGTCAATGGGCTTTGGCGAGATAACTGCGAAATAGACAAAAGAGTGAAAGAGACGATGTGTTATCAAACAACAGGCAGGCAGTTAAACTCCAGCTAAAAAGGAGTAATGAGAGAGAGGAAAAAAAAAAGACAAACAGAAATAAAGGGAATATGGTAAAGTGCAACGTTTTGCAAAACTTTGTATTTAATGAAAAAGTTTATTTTTTCCAGTAGTTTTTGTGCATTTTCTTGCAACGGATGGAGGAGATTATTTATGGAAGAGCGGAGAAATAAGCAGCTATAAAAAATATTCGAGGCGTGATGTAACTTATTGTTGAGCTTTCAATTGCCCACACTCTATTGTTGATCTCGCTCGCATTGTTAATGATGAGAGCGGATAATTAAAGAGCTTACACTGC